TGTAGATTCCTTCCAGCCCTCGTCTTTTAGGCTCTGACCCTGCTGTCTCCCTGCCTGTGCTCCCTTTAACTACAGAGACTGCCTGAGGCTTCCTGTCTTAGAGGGTGGGGTAGGCTAATGGCCCTCCCTCTCACTGATGTCACATCCTAATTCCTGGAACCTGTGAATATGTTACCTTACGTGGTAGAAGGGATTTTGCAGATTACATCAGATTAAGGATTTTGAGATGTGAAGACCATCCTGGATTATCTGGGTGGGCCCAGTGTAATCACAGTGTAATCACTAGGCTTAGCGTTTGTAGTAGGAGATGTGTACACAGAAGCAAGAGGTTGGAGTGATGCAAGGAAGGGGTCATGAGCCAAGGCTTACAGGCATCCTCTAGAAGCTGAACAAGGCAAGAGAATGGATTCTCCCATCAGAGCTTCCAGAAGGAACCAGCCCTACTGACACCTTGACTTTATTTAGCTCAGGGAGACTGATTTTAGACTTCTGACCTCTGGACTATAAGACGATAAAGTTGTTTTGTTTTAAGCTTCTAAGTTTGTGGTAATTTGTTAAAGCAGCAAGAGGGAACTAATACCGTGGGACTCCCTAGAGTTCCGCCTCTTTCTAGAATAGAAACGCCATGTGTATCAGAGTAAAACTGTGCGTGCTCCATAGGGTTTTCAGTGGCCGATTTTTCAGAAGTAGATCACCAGGCCTTTCTTCCAAGGTATTTTTGGGTGGACTTGAACTTCCAACCTTTGGGTTAGCAGCCAAGTGGGTTAACTGTTTGTACCACCAAGGTACTCCATTTCTAGAATAGCTCTGCCTGTTTCTAGATCTGCCAGATACCTCTCTGGCCATTTCTGAGCCTCTGCCATGCACTCCCCAGCATGAAGCAATGGTGGCTACATGGTGAAGTGGGGAAAAGCATGGGACAGAGAGTCGGCACTTCTGGGTTTTAGTCTTGGCTCTTCCACTGACTCACCATGTGCTCTTAAGTAAATCACACCCAGGGACAGATTATCCAATAGGGCAAGGTAAGCATCATGCTTACTTAACAGATCATCTGTAGTTAACAATTTAACATTTTTTCACCACATCAAATATTCTGCTTCTAGGGATGGCTGGCATTGTCTGTCTCTCAACCCCACAGCACCGTCCTACAGAATCAAAGCCTCTTTTCAAATTTACAGTCCCTGACAGGGACGGATTACCCCGTAAGCAAGGTAAGCATGGTCTTACTTGTGCTTACATACAAATATGTAATGCACAATTTCAGGTGAAACCCATGTGAAATTCTGCACTACAGATTAGTAAGTAGGCACAAGTAAGCCTGTGCTTACCTTGATGATTGGGTCATCCGCCCCCTGGTCACGCCCCTGACTGAGGTTGAGCTCTTTCATTATAGAGATCAGACTAAATGATCTCCAAGATCTTTTCTATCTGAAAATTGCTTGATTTTAGAATTAAACTTGTCTCTTGAAACACTTCCCATTGGCCCAAGTCATTGTTGTGCCAGGTTCTCTGTCTTCCTAGAGACCAGAGAAAGACTCGGCACAGAATTTTGCATCAACAAGAGTTGCATAGGGAACAAGTATGCAGGGGAGGCAACCCTGAGAGATGTTGTCTTAGTCATCTAGTGCTGCTCTAACAGAAATACCACAAGTGGATGGCTTTAACAAAGAGAAGTTTATTCTCTCACAGTCCAGTAGGCTACAAGTCCAAATTCAGGGCTTCAGCTCCAGGAGAAGGCTTTCTCTCTCTGTCGGCTGTGGAGAAAGGTCCTTGTAATGCATCAGTCTTTCCTTGGTCTGGGAGCGTCTCAGCGCAGGAACCTCAGGTCCAAAGGACGCGCTCTGCTCCCGGCACTGCTTTCTTGGTGGTATGAGGTTCCCATGTGTCTCTGCTCGCTTCTCTCTTTTATATCTCAAAAGAGATTGCATTAAGACACTAATCTTGTCAACCTCATCAGTATAACCTCATCACAGGGATAGAATTTACAACACAAGGAGATCATATATAATCTCATCATAGTGATAGAGTTTACAACACATAAGGAGATCACAATCATACAATACTGGGGATCATGACCCAGCCAAGCTGACAGATATTTTGGGGGGACACAACTCAATCCATGACAGATGTCAAGAGAATGGTGGATCTTGAGGCAGAGCCCAGGAGGGACTGAGGAGGAGGAAGGAATACAGAGACAGTGCCACCAAGAGAAGAACGCATTCTCGTTTGGGGAAACAGGCAGTGATGGGAAGATACCGGGGACATTTTTCTTAGCCTAACACCAGTGCATATTGAACAATGAATGGTCTGCCTTCTGGGCTCTGGAGTGAGACCAGTCTAAGTGGGACTCCAGCTCCACCACTTTCTAGCTGCCTGACCTGAAGGAAATTGCTTCACCTCCTTGAGCTTCCTCACCTGAAAAATGGTGATGAAGATCTCAACTTTGCAGAGTGGAAACCTTAAGTATTTTGTCTCTGTTCTCACCATAAGCCCTTAGCAGAACTCGAAGAAGGGCTGGGCCAGGTGGAGCTTGCTATCTCTGCTTGGAAAACTCAGACCCAGAGTCAAAAACCAAGTCAGTGGGACAATCCAGAGTGGAAAATGGCATCTCTTCATGCTCACACATTCCTGTTGGAATCCTACTCCCTCTAGAAGCTTTTATTTCCACACATTAGAAATTGTTGTTGTTAGTTGTTGAGTCAGCTCCAACGCATGGCAACACCATATACAACAAAATGAAATGTTGCCCAGTCCTGTGCCATCTTCATAATTGTTGGTATGTTCGAGTCCATTGTTGCAGCTATTGCATAGTGCTTTCCAACCTAGGAGGTTCATCTTCCAGCACTATACTGGACAATATTCTCCTGTAATTCATAGGGTTTTCATTGGTTAATGTTTGTTTCTTCCTAGTCCTTCTTAGTCTGGAAGCTCTGCTGAAACCTGCCCACCATGGGTAACCCTGGTATTTCAAATACCATTGTCATAGCTTCCAGCATCATAGCAACATGCACACCATTATAGTACGACAAACTGATAGATGAGTGGTGGTATTAAAAATTACTGTTGCCCTTTTTTCCCCCAAATCTCCCAAGGTTATCTATACAAAGAGCTCTCCCTTGACGTACAGAGTTTTCCCATTTTGCAGAAGATGAAACTGAGGTGAAGGTGGGATAGTTAAAAATCCCAGATGCTCAGAGCCCCGGAGAGATCAGGGCCCTACAGGAGAGGCTGAATGCCAAGTTCAGTGAGATTAAGTATCCTGGAGAATAGTAGTGCCTTTTAAAAAAAACCTGGTCAAATCTGACGAAGCTCTGGTCAAATTGATTAGCAAGCATTGGAAGGGATTAGAAGTAGAGAGCATTTTGCCCTGGTGAATATCTCAATCCTCCATATTGAAAGAGGGAGCAAATCCGGGCAGTGCCAATTCACAGAACCACTGAAAGGAAACTGAAAGTCCTTCAAGAATGCCATTGAAACAAGATAGGTGTGCCCATGTGCTTTTGTTAAGAAGCATGGAAATGCATGGAATCTATTTCCCAGTAATCATCCGAATAAAGTGGGCATTCTAACCAGGAGACTGCTGATAAAGTACCTCTTGCTGGGTAGGGAAAAAAACTGAAATAGACTTTGACTGTTTCTTAAGCATAGATCTTATGTACCAGGCACTTCGAATGCCTTTGAAAAAGATACAGATTTCTCTTCAAACATTTTTACAGAAACTTCTCTGTTAGAAGCACCTTTTGTTTTTCTCCTGGGCTCTGTTCCTCCCCCACTCTCCTTGGCTTGACACCTCCAAGGTAACTTTGCAAAATTGGCTGGGGCCCTGGGGCAAGAAGGACTCCGAAAAATGAAGACGGGTGTCACCACAGGTACAATTCTGTCCCCATTGTTCACATAGTTTTCCATTGTCTTTGGCAAACATTCTGTATTGTTTAGCTCTCACTATCCCCAAGGCCCTGTCAACGAGTCTGTCTACACATGTCTGGTCTAAGTCCAAGAATAAAAGATGATTGAACAGCTAGGATCTCGATTCTTTCATCAGGAAAATTGGGATAATGACAGCTAACTCAGGAAAGGGCCTGGCACATGGTAAAAAAACAGTTGCCATGGAGTCAGCTCTGACTCATGGCAGTCACATGTGTGTCAGAGTAGAACTGTGCTCCACAGGATTGTCCATGACTGGTTTTTCAGAAGTAGATCACCAGGTGTTTCTTCCGAGGTGCCTCTGGGTACACTTGAACCTTTTGGTTAGCAGCCAAGAGCAACCATTTGCACCACCCAGGGACTCCTGGTACGTGGTAGTGAGTCAGTAATTGTAGTTATTATTACTTTCGTGTTTACTGCTTATTTTAATACGTCTTGTGACTCAGTAACCTCAATCTGTCTAAATGTTCTATGGCTGGTCACTGCTTTAGGGGAGCAGTAGTACAGTTGTATACCTTTGCTGAGAGAAAAGGAGAAGCATAGACATTTTAAACTAAATGTGCTCTTTAGATCTTTTAATATAACCTCCGCTCCCCACTAAAAGAGAAGGTCCCTAGGTGGTGCACTGTGCTCAACTACTAACCTAAAGGTTGGCTATTTGAACCCACCCAGCAGTACTGCAGAAGAAAGACTTGGCAATCTGTTTCTGTTAAGATTACAGCGATGGAGCAGTTCTACTCTGCGACTCAGAATTGACTCGATGGCAACTAAGAACAACATTAAAAAGAGAAGGCATGTGAGGCTTAGGTTGGGACATGCTCGATATCATGCATTCAGCTGGAAGCAGAGAAGGACTAGAAGCAGCACGGTGAATGTTTTTACACCCGTTTTATAGGTGACAGGACTGAGGTATAAGGACCTCCCCCAGTCATACAGTGAGTAATGCCTCCAGTCGGGACTTGGATTCAGATCAGCTGGCCATGTGTCAGTGGAGGCAGAGTCCCAGCAGGAGGCTGGGCAGATGACGCGTGGCTGGGTCCGGGTCCCCTTAGCTCACCTGACCCTGTCTCTTCCAGGCTCCAGATGCTGGAGGCCATCTGCAAACACTGGGAGGGGCCCATCAGCCTGGCCCTCTACCTGTCTGATGCTGAGGCCCAGCAGTTCCTCCGCTATGCCCAGGGTTCCGACGTGCTCATGAGCCGCCACAATGTGGGCTACCACATCGTGTACAAGGAGGGCCAGTTCTACCCCGTGAACCTGCTGCGCAATGTGGCCATGAAGCACATCAGCACGCCCTACATGTTCCTGTCTGACATCGACTTCCTGCCCATGTACGGGCTCTATGAGTACCTCAGGTAAGGATCGCGGAAACCCACCACCACGCCAGCCACTTGGGTTGGAAGGCACATACAGTCGTGGGGTGCCAGAACCAGAATATACCTTAGAATCATCATGTAGTCCAACACTTTCCTTTAATAGATGGGGAAACTGAGGCCCAGAAAGGGGAAGGAACTGGAACTTGCCTAAGCCCACACAGAGACAGAGCTCCCAACTGCCGTATTTGGAAGGGGCATTAGGCAATTCACTGTTTTCGAGTCCCTGCTGAAGAGTCTGGAACCCAGGTTTGCATAATGAAATAGGAGTGGCAGAGCTTGGACAGGAAACATCTCTCTCATCTCCCAGCTAATGCTCTTTCCATTGCTTCTACGAAAACATATCTTTGCGCTTCCCATTTTGAATCAGAGAATCTTCATTTAACCATTCTGGAAAGATCACTGTCTAGTCTTTAAAACAAATCTAAATGGTGATTATGGTGCACGTTGATTGCGGTGCTTTCTATGTGCCAGGCACTGCTCTGATGCTTTACAGGGATGTTTCATCCCCGCCCCATCCCTGCCACAGGTGCTATTATCATCTTCATTTTACAAATGGGAAACTGCAGGTACAAGACTTTAAGCAGTAGCCAAGGTTACAAACCTCATAAAGGGTGGAGCTGAGTCTAAATGTAGCCAGCCTGACTCCAGAGCCACACGCTTAATCGCCGCTGTGGCAGCCTCTGTAAACCTCCGATGACCCTTCCAGCTCGCCCCACTTAGCAGGGCAGGCATCCAGCTGCTGAAGAAAGTGCTCGGCTCGGGGAAGGCTTGGGTGTCTGTGTGGTGAATGGTGTTTATTACAGAATAATAATCCAAACTGAAAGAGACTACAGAATTCATATAGCCCAAAGGTCCCCATTTGACACACAAGAAAAGTAAAGTCACAAGAAGTTCAATGATCTTACCATAGTCAGACTATATTTTTTAAAAATCCTTTCATTACTGTCATTTGTAAGCATGAACGATCTCTGCTAGCAATTGAGTGCTCGCCTGGATCCAGGTACATGAGAGGTGGTTTGCACATATTCTCTTGTTTGAACCACACATCAAGGCCAAAATGCAGGCATGGTCGCCCCAATTTTACAGGGGGGAACGGTAAGGTTCAGAGAAGCAAAGTAACACACTCGAATCCACATCATTTGCAAATGGCAGCACCAGGATTTGAACTTGTGTCTGTCCAACTCTGAGTCTGCAGGCCACCCTGCTTCACACTTGGCTGGTTGTCCTGGGGTTTCTGACTGTCCCAACAGGCAGGATCTGATTCCTTGCTGTCTTCCTCCCTTGCTCTCCTTCCTCACCATCTTCCCACCTGTCTCTTAAAACAGCTTCCAAAAGGCTTTTGTGCCAAACCTAAGGCATAGGCTTGGTATGGGCACCCCACCTGCCCTTCTCTCCCTAGTGCCAGGGAAGGCAGCCTGTAGACTGTGTCCAACTCAGGTCTCCTTCCAGGGGCATCTTCGGATTTCATAGCATTAATCCCTTCCTGTGGAAACGAAGGGTCTCAGACCAGCCTTTCTTGGTTAAGAACAGCAGGGTGAGTGAACCAGAGGCAACATAGCCCTGGGTCATAGAGGATGGGAGCTGTGGTCCCAGGAAGCACTCCATAGAGCATGTGACCTTCAACTCCTTACCCTGCGGGGCCTCCAAAGTAGAACTTTCCTCCAGCTCCAGCTCCAGCTCCAGCTGGGGCCTAGGAATCCCAGTGTGTGGAATGAGGGCGCCCCCATGTGGCCAGATGGAGCTTCCAGGCCCTGATTCCTACTAGATTCCAAAACCTTGGCAGTTTGTGGATGGCAGGCTCAGGGTCTGAGTCAGGGCTCCCAAAGGAACAGATGATGGGGGTGAGGGCCACCCTCTACCAAGAAGAGAGGGGCCTCCAGGATGAGACCACTCCCACGTGCCACCCTTCCTCAGGACCCTCTTCCTCAGAAGCCCCTCAGGGGCCTTCACTCCAGCTAGTTAAAGGTGAACTGGTCCCATCTTAAGAGTTCATGATCTCTATTCTTTCTATCCAAAGACTCTTTTATGATTTCACTTCCATGGAAATCACGTTTTGAAAAATATTACACATGAACAGACTGTAGTTTTATGTTGTATTCCAATTTTTTATAGATCAAAGACATTGTTAACTGCTAATCAGGACCTTAATTTGAAATAACCAGCGTTGCTCATTAATTTGAATTAATATTTTAGTTAATGCAGAGTTACTTGAGGCATTACTTGGCTTTAGCTACATTATCACAGGAAGGTGTGTGGTTCCCTTTATGGTTTTGAAATATTGAAAATTGTTCCTAAAACCCCATCATTTTCTGGCTGAGTTGAGAGTGAATGGTCTTGTCCAGTCCTCTTCTAGTAACATACGGAAACTGAGACCAGGGAGGTGAAGTGACTTATTCATCTAGAGTGAGAAGACAGTGGGGCTCTCCTGATGGTCCTCCTCTGTCCACAGTGTCCATTCATCTTCTCATGCATTTATTCGGTAAACGTTTCTAAGCTGCCTACTGTGTGCCCTCATCTGTGAAACAGATAGGATCCCCGCATCCCACAGTTTACAGTCCAACCAGAAAGACAGATAATTAAGATGCAAATTCAGTTAAGTGCTTTAGGCTCCATGATGTGGGTGTGGATGTCAGGGTGCTATTAATCTGGGGATGGAAGAAGCTCAGGAAAGGGTGCCCTGGAGGGACTGGATCTAAACTGAAGCCTGCAGGCTGCGATGGAGTTAGGCAGTAGAGATGGTGGTGGTTCCAGGTGGAGGGAGACGACCGTTCCAGAAATGAAGGGTGGCTATAGCTTAGGTGGGGAGAACAACAAGAGGTGATGTGGCCGGAAGTGTAAGGAAGAGTGGTACTGCAGGACTTTTTCATAAAATGTGCCCAGGAGTTTGGACTGTATGAGACAGGTGGCAACAGAAAATCACTGAGGAAATGGCATGATTAGATATGCATTTAAGAAAGATTATTCTGGTTGCATCAGGGAAGGATTGCAATCAGCAGGACCAGAGGAAGGGAGATGAGTTAAGGACTGTCGCCTTGATCTAGGTAACTGAGGGATCAGCAGTGGCAGCAGGGACAAGTAGATGGACCAGAGGGAGATTCCATAGCTGAAATCAACAACTTTCTGCAAAAATGCCTGGAGTTTGCAGGGGAAGATAGGGGATTTCTTTCAAACGTTGCAACTTGAGACTCCCTTTGCAAAGCTTAGGTGCAGAAGTCCTGACTGCTTTGCTGGCTTCTCATCGTGGCCCCTCGGGGAGCGGCTGTGCCCATATCCTCAAGGCTTTCAGCAGGCTAGCATGACAGTATTCTCTTTAAGTGTTATGACGGGAAGGCACTGGCTGGGACCCGGGAATCCTTGTTCCAGCTTGGACTGTGTGCTGTAGTGAACTATGAGACTTCAAGCAATTCTCTTTTCTTCACTCAGCCTGTTTCCTCACTGTAAAATGAAGAGGTGGACTCATATCCATTACTCATTGCCTTCGAGTCGATTCCAACTCATAGCAGCCCTGTAGGATGGAGTAGAACTGCCCCATAGGGTTTCCGAGTACAGAAGCAGATCGCCACATCCTTCTCCTGGTGGGTTCAAACTGCCGACCTTTCGGTTCGCAGCCAAGTGCTTAACCACTGCTCTGGCAGGGCTCCTTAACCTCATTTCAGGGGTCCCAAACTCAGTTGCCCACAGGGGCAAGGACCTTGGCATAAAGGATCCAAGAATGTATGATTCGGTAGAGAGAGCACAGCTCCCATCTCAGGGAGCAGGCGTTTCTCCACTCCAAGTGTGGACTTCTTGGTGGGCCAAGGCCTAAAGTTACTAGGTCTTCATATTTTCCAAAAGGAGCTGGGACTCTGGATTTTCACATAAGATTTTTTAATTTTTTTTAAATATTGGCGAGTAGTTTAAAATTTTAAGTACTATTGGGCTGAATAGAACCATCTCACCCCCACCCCCGACCACCAGCTTGTGACCCCCTGACCTAGGTAATTCCTACTACCACCAGTTGCCATTGAGGCAGTTCTAACTCATAGCAACCCCTGTGTGTCAGAGTTGAACTGTGCTCCGTAGGGTTTTCAATGGCTAATTTTTTGGAAGCAGAACACCAGACCTTCCTTCCAAGGTACTTCTGGGTGGACTTGAACCACCAACCTTTTGGTTAGCAGCAAGCACATTAACCATTTACACCACCCAAGGACTCCAGGTCATGCCTAGGCACCAGAATTTTGAGAATTTATAAGGAATATGATTTCATCAGAGGCCCAAATAAATATACACTGCCCTTTTTATATGAAGATATCCATATGGACTTCCATCAGCTTAAGGAAATTTTTTTCCAGCAAGTAGGGTGGATTTGTTTCTGATTGAAACATTATCAGTGCATGTACCTCATTATCAACATTATATCAGTGACTTGGGATGAGGTTAGGGGTACTGTTTGCTATGGTAGCTGTGGAAGCTAACAAAGCCAGTGGGCCCTCCTGGAGACTGACTTCTTCAGCACTGATATCCAACAAAATATTCTATCCAAGCCCTGTTAAAATACTAATATTGAAATTGATGGTTACAATTTATTGAGCCCTTACCGTGTGCCAGAAACCCTGCCAGCTGCTTTACATACGTCACCTCTCCTCTTCACACTGCTCTGTGGGCTGAGGATTACACAGGTGGCTAAACTGGAGAGATAAACAGCCCAGGTCACGTTGGCAAAGACTAGATCTGAACCCAGGTCCCTCTGACCCCACCAAGTCACTGCCACTCTAAATTACTTTCAAAGTATATAGATTTTTCTTAATTTGACTAGTGTCTAATACAGTACCTGGCACTAGTGTTGTTCTCGTTGTTAGGTGCTGTCGAGTCAAATCTGACTCCTCGCGACCCCATGTGACAAAGTAGAACTGCCCCAGGGGGTATTCTAGGCTGTAATCTTTACAGAAGCAAAGTGCCAGGTCTTTTTCCTGCAGAGCCACTGGGTGGGTTTTAACTGC